ATAACCTTCACAGAACAGATAATTCCAGTAGTATTTAAGCAAGTAAGGACAATTTTAAAAGACGGAAAGCTCCTTCATTGTATAAACTAATACAACTTTAATACCAAATTCTGATTTTTTAAAAATACAAAAAAGAAGAGTCCATCTTACATATAAAAATAGATGTAAAAATTCTAAATTAGTCAACAGAATCCAGAAATACATCAAACAAAATGAGTGAAGGCTTATCTAGGAAAGCAAGGACATTTCAGTATAAAAAGGTCTATCGACCATTAGTCAGTGCTGAAAAGGCATATGAAAAACATTACAACCTTTCCTAATAAAGCCTCTCAGTAGAATGGAAGAAAGAAACAATCTATATATGATCAAGACCGTTTGTCATTATTCTAAATAAAGAAATGTCAGAGCCATTTTTATTACTTTAACATGTTTAATTGAATGAAATATTATGAAATAGAATAGTTCTATTTTAGTTTCTGAATTATCTCATATTCCCAAGTATTTTAACAAGTTTATGTTGTGGCGTTAAGCAAGATGTATAAACTACTTTGCATTTTAATTAAATTATCTTTCTGTTAAGTAAGCCCAAACTATAAGGTAACTTGTGGATGAAATCTATCTGACACCTGCCCTTAGAAGCCAAACAGTCATGGGTATTTCTAAAAACTTACCAAGGGAGTGATAAGAATCACTGATCTAAAGTCAACCAACAACAAACAAAATTTGTCTAAATTTAGTTGAAATGTTATCAACCCTCAAAAAACACTTTCACATATTGTAACAATTATAAGTCTTCGAGATTAAGAAATAGTTTGTGAGCCTGTCTTAAGTAGAGAGCCAGTTTTAAATTTTCTAATTTTTTTATTTGAAAATTTTTATTTAAAGTGCTCTTTTTGTATTCAAAGTTACCTAAAATAGGGTAAATTAAAAAAACAAAAAGCAAATTTTGCCTATTTAATCATACTATGTAAAGTTAATGTAACTACTTTCTATATCCATGCTTAAGTTTCAACCAATTGTATCTATGCAGTTGATTAAACACCTCAGGTAAAGACCTGATTAAGCACCATCTTATGGCCTGACCATAGCAAAAAGAGAAATCTAATGCTTATTATTTTCCCCCCAAACATTCCCATGTAACAAACAAAAACCTGGTCAAAATATTCTTCCAATTTTGTCTGTGCGTGTTTATTTTTAGGTCAGAGTTGGATTATATGTCATTAAATATTGGTTGTGTTTCATTATGTTTCTTCTTTTAAGACTCAAACATACTATGTAAAATCTCTTTTTCTGATTTCCACATCTGTCATTTTCTCACTCTAATTTGTTTTAATATTCTTATTCACTTTGGTAAATTCTACCCACTTTTGCATTCCTAGCTTCTATGTTCTTTATTGTGTTTCCCAGTTTCTACTGTCCCTTGTGATCCTTCCAATCTCACCTTCATTTCAGTGATGGTTCTATTTTCTTATCTTTTCTTTCTTTCCACTCAATCAGCTCACACTGCATTTTCTCATGTAGTCGCACTATCTCTTCCCCGACCTCTTATATCACTGTTTTGTGCTCTCACTGATAAATATTTCCATTAAGGCTTTTAAATTCATGGCAAAATGTTTGGTCATTATTTTCATCTTCTTTACAGCAATATTTTTTTCTGGTGAGGATTCTTCAACTGTCCTTTGTTTTTCCATTCCTTTCTTCCTTTTCGATTCCTGAATGGTGGTAGTGGCCTTGAGCTGGATTATTTTTTACTAAGTCATAGTTGAAAGTGGTGAGGTTTTCCTGGACAAGCTATTTGCAGGAGGTTCATGCAGAAAGCCATAGTGGATCAGTTCTGCACTGGAAAAATTTTGTCTTGATTCAGGGTTTTACATGAGAATCAGTTAGTTTTTTATTTCTCAACATTCAGAGGAGATAGGCAACCTTGAGGTTTTTCAAAGGCATCTATCTCCTCCCCTACTGCTACAGAGACAGACAAAATGCAAAAATGGCTGGTTTGTATGACTCCTTGTTTGGCTTCACCTTCCCAACTTCTTAAAACCAAACCAGATGCAGGGCAACTCCTGCCATTAGCTTAAGAAGCCATTTTGCTTTTACAAACAAGGGATATAGGTTTTGCACCTCACAGTGGGCCTCTCAACCTCATGAAGCACCTCTTGCTGGCTCCGAGCTCTGCAGCCCTGGCATCGCCTACTTTCTCCTACAGGCGGCCTGTCTGGTCCCCACTGCTCTTGGCAGCCATTCCACCTATTTTGTGGGTTGGTGTTTTAGCTGCCTTCTAGTATAGTGGTCTACGGGGTTGGCGTTTTAGTTTCTCCCTCTCTTTGTTATTAGTCAATTGCCAGAAAGCAAAAGATGAAAATGCCAACTCTATAGTACCATCTTCAAACCCCAAATCCAATAATTACCTTAATAGAGTATTTTATACAAGACAGAAACTTGAGTGTCTCACTGTATTACTGAAAGATAAAGGTGTGCTTTCCTTACTATTATACTGTGAGGTAAATACTAATTTTCATATGGCCATTAACAACTGGACTAATTATTTTTATTTCAAAAACTCATGTATATTGGTTATAACCTAGGGCAGAAAATTATCTGATGCCGAAATGTAAAAGATACTTTTCAAGGCCCAAGGCCCATTGGGGGAACAAATTATGTATATTCTCATCAGTATGCTACAATCTTAGTATTTGCTTTTAAAGCAAAGCCTTTTTAGTAATAAAGACAACGAATGATCTGTCAATCTGCAAGTCCCCAGTTACATTTGGGTTTGAAATGAAGACAGATAATTTATAATATATATAAGATCACTCCCTTAGGAAAATTTTAACTCTAGGCAAGTTTATTTTCCTGCCAGTTATTATTCTTCTACTCCTCGCTTATCCAATACCAGGTATGTTCTGAACAAAATCAAGTTTTATTAATAACTGATTTTTTAAAGGAGCAAATGATATACCAAAACCAAATTAAATAGATTTTGAATTACTAGTGTTTTAAATGATTCCCTTTTACACACATAACAGTAAGTCTGTCAATGTTAACATGTCATCCAAAAGCTAAGTAATGCCTGATATAATTTATTAAACATTTAGAGGCACCGTGAGCTCATACTGATGGAAAGAAACAAAGAAGAACTCTTCTTTACAGAATTCTAAATAAGAAATGGAAATGGAAGGATGGAATTTGAAAAACCACGGCTGGACAACCACCATAGTTGGAATGACAGGTTGACAGTTTACAGTGGAGAGACTTGGTGTACATCATCTTAAGGAACCAAGTCCCATCACCAGTAATGGCACAGATATACACCATGCTCTGACAAGCACTTCTGAGGAATTCCTGACCAAAATGCATAACCTGAATCTAACCATGAGGACACACGGACAAATGCAATTGAAGGATATTCTACAATAACTGGCCTGTATGCGCTCTTCAAAAATGTCAAGGCCATGAAAGACATAGAAAGAGTGAAGAACTGTTCAGATTAAAAGAGACTAAGGAAAAATGACAACAAAATTCAATATGTGGGCTTCCCTGGTGGCGCAGCGGTTGAGAGTCCGCCTGCCGATGCAGGGACACGGGTTTGTGCCCCAGTCTGGGAAGATCCCACATGCCGCGGAGCGGCTGGGCCCATGAGCCATGGCTGCTGGGCCTGCGCGTCCGGAGCTTGTGCTCCGCAACGGGAGAGGCCACAACAGTGAGAGGCCCGCGTACCACAAAAAAAAAAAAAAAAAAAATTCAATATGTGATGCTGGACTGGATTCTGGACCAGAAACAATTCTTTTTCTCTGGTATATAAGACATTCATGGGACAACTGATGAAATCTGTCTGTGTACAGGAGAACTGTATCCATGTTCATCTAGAAAATACACATTAAAGTACTTAGAGGTTAAAGACACTGAAGACACTGTCTGCAATTTTCTCTCAAACAATTTGAAAAAAGCAAGAATACTGTGTATGTGTATGTAGACAGTGAAAGATAAGGCATATGTGATAAATGTTAACATTTGAGGAATCTGATTAAGATATACAGGAATTCTTTGAACTATTTTTACAACTTTTCTCCAAGTATGAAATTATTTAACAATAAAAAGGAAAAAAATCAACCCAGTTAATAGAAACTATTTTGCCTAATAATAACACAAGGATCATCTTTACTACATTCTACTCAGCAGATCATGAAATTTTAGAGCTGGAAGAAAAATGTATTCTCTCACCAAAATTCCTCAACTTACAGAAGACAAGGAAGTGAATGACTTGCTCAAGATGACAACGTTCAAGGCAGAGCCAAGACTATTATCCTGCTCTGACTCAGCTCTTCCTACTGCTGCAAGCTGTCTCTTGTTCCTTTACATTGTCACCTACTCCCTAAACATGTGACAACAGAATATTTAGCTCTATCTTCTCATATATCCTAATAAGCTGGTGTGACAAACCACTTTCAGGCAATCTAAATTTCATTTTTAAAAGGCATTTATGTATTACTGCTTCTAACAGTCTTTAATAACTAATATCAATAAATATGCTGCCAGAATACATGCCAGATACTGTACTGAGTGCTAAAAATACAAAATTAACACACTCTACTGCTGGGTGATGCTGCTAGGTCCATTATGACACAGACCAAGTCTGCATTATTGAACATTATAACCCACCTCTTAGGACAGTGCCTGGCATGCAATAAACATTCAAATGACTGTATGCTGCTAAATAACAGACAACCCATAGCACAGGATTGTGTATACAGATAATCGTAATATCCGCAGTGTTAACAAAGTACCACGAGACAACAGAAAGGACTTTTGTTTGCTTGGTGAGATCTACAAAGGCTTCAGAAATTTAATGACTACCAAAGTTAAGACTTGAAAGACAAATAAGATTTTGACAGACATGGAAGCAATGGGGTGGTGAGAGGATGGGTAGGGGGAGTTAGATGAAACAGCCTGAAGCAAGAAAATATTTGGCATTTCTACTAAATTTTTAAACATAGGCTTACCTATTGTTGCTGCCAGCTCTGGATCAAAAGTATCATCTGTGAACCTCAAGAGCAGGCTAAAAGAGATGTTAAGAAGACAGATTAGTAATTTGGCTTTTCTTTCTAATCACTTGATAAATCTTCCTGATTGTTTTATTTTGTCACTAGTTAGACGCAGATAAGAATAGCTGATGTAGCCCGCTCCCAGAAATACAGCCTCAGTGCAGGTATATACAGAGGAATTAAATTATTAGAACGGCAATTAAAGAGTCCCAAAAGCAAAGTAGTTTTTACTTGAAAATATGTTCCCTATGCTCCCCTGCTCAATTCCCCACGTGTGAAAACGACTGTGTTTTTTGCTTTTTTATAACTGTATTGGTATGTCCTTCTGAGAAAATGATATTAGCAAACATGTGACACTTTAACTGACATGGACAAAAAGGGGAAAAGTTAAGTCTTTTGGAATGCAACAAATTAATTTTTTAAAAAATCTAATGCATAATTCACTCCGAATTCAGGTAAAAACAGAAAGGTGTGAAGTCTAGCATTTTGAAACAAGTAGTAAGACTATTACGCAAGTGGAAGGAGACATAATAAAAAGCGAAGGCAGAAAGGTCACATGATGGCCAGAGCAGGTGGCCTCCGGCAAATGCTGGGTAGGGTGTATGAAATCAAGGAGGCAACATGGAGCCACCAAAAGCTTTCACCGAAAGGAATGGCAGGAACTTCTCTTTATCTTGAAAACTTAACGCCAGCAAAAAAATGCAAGAAAAACAACAGAAGACAACTGCCATGATTATAGTGAGAGATCATGAAGGACTAAACCTAGGAAATGGTAAAGAAACTAGAAAGGAAGGCATGAAACGAAAAGATACCATGAGAGTACTGCAAGATTTTGTCTCCCAGAATTATTTTGTTTAACATAAGGCAGAAGTGTCAGTTATTAGCTGTTCAAAAATAAAATCTAAGCTTTTGTTAAAGCCCTAGATTTATAAAATTAATCAACTGCCCCTCACGTTATCTCCTAAGTAGGGCGAGACCATTCTATTGACCTATTTGCATTAATAAAATCAAGACAATAGCTGTCTCATGTCTGAATTGCAGCAAAACAATGTATGAATATTTCTATAGATTATAATTATTGCTGCTAAAGATTTTTTTTTTGTCCACAGGGTTGCAAAACGTAATGGCCTCTTGGTAGTTCCCGAACCCAGTGTCATTAATTCTATTTGAAGGATTAACTCTCCGTTTCCTGGTTTTGCTTTTTGTTGATCATAAAACCAGCACCACAAAAGCAAAGTAAAAAGAATCATATTGTAGGTTTTTCTACTTAACATTGAACACTCTTGACTATAACTCATTTTACTTACCTCCAACATGAATTAGGTGACAGCACTAATAAGAATCTTAAAACACTACTCATGAGAATTTTCTTCTCTCCCCAACATTAAACTTCAAATCAATAAAAGTGAAGATTTCACTAAAACTTTCAGTTACTCACAATTTAAGAATAGAAAGGTTGTGTATCTATACTCAGTCACCGAAGAAAATATTATTACAAAAACACAGAACCTTGCTGAGTAGTAATAATAACACCATAATAACATAAATAATAACAGTGGTATTGGCTATTATTTATTAAACATCGACAATGTGGCAGACACTGAGCCAGTGGTTTTTCTTGGCTTGTCATTATGGTATTTTGTCAGGAAAGAAAAGGGTTTAAAGCAACAAATTTTAATACAGACTTCGAGTATAAGGCAGCAGATCTTAGCCAGGGGTAAACTATTAGCTCGAAATGTATTCTAAATTCTATGTGTACATTTTTCTAGGCAGGGAGTCTATTTCTCTATTAGATTTGACAGGAACCCACAACCCGAAAATGATTAAGAGCCACTGCTCTAAAGGATGTACGTTTAAGCCTTCATATTTTCAAAGTTAAAGGAGCAAAATGCTCTCCATGTAGAGCTATAGATGGAAGGAGACCACCAATCCACTTGGAGACCAAATCTGTAATTAATCAGTGCGATTATAACTAACACGCATTTCTCAATTTACAAATGAAATTTGTCAAAAAGGATGGGATATAAGGGGCACAGGAGGGACAGCAATTTAAATAACAGAAGGTCTCTATAATCCCTCCCAGTCTCTGAAACACCTGGGTACTTCACTTCCCTATGGCTATAGCCACGGAATCAAAGACCACTGCACATCTAACACTTGATAGGGCCTGAGAGATTTCTACCCAACCTCACTTTTCGAACAAAGAAATGAAGGCCTGGAGTGTCCGAGTGACAAAGGTCACACAAGTGGCAACACCAGTTTCGTCATTCTCGTCTCCTGGCTCCTCTCACACATGCTTATTACACTCCAAGTATGGAATAAACTGGAAAAATAACCCACTAGTTTGAATTAGTTAAGATGTCCTTTGTTGTGCAATGATTTCTCAACAACACAAGTGATACATCACTTCCACTAACTCTAGATTTATAAAGAAATAGAAACCATTGGTTAGAACAACCCTGTAAGATTATATCCATGACAAGTGTTTTTGTACTTACCTTAAAAAGATAGGCTTCTAAAGTCATTTATTCTCATCTTATCCAGAAAGTGTTCAAAGTTTTTTCCGTAGCTTATGACATACACCAAAAATGTATATCTAGCCAGAAAAATAAGCCAACTTTCTCCTTAAATGCAATCCTTTCTTGAAAGAGGTAAAGGTGTTAAAATTTTGCAGTGAGTAGTTGATAATTCACCACTAACTATTGAGAAGAAGTCTGGAGCATATTAGATCCAAATAAATTTGTTTGAGGGGAGGGAACCAGTAAATCCACTTAACAGATTTTACTCTAGAGGAAGAACTTCAGTTATGTGAACACTGCACTGCAGTTAGCTTTCAAGTAATCACCCATCTAACACATTTAGAAAAGGTGCCAATCAACCATGTTTGGGGCTGAACCACATGAAAGGACATTCAACCATTCCTAACTGCAAAATCAGCAATTTCATATGTCTTAACCTAAATGAGGGTCACATCTCAAGAAGAAAATGGTCACAAGGCCAAGGAATTCCTATTAAGACAATGTTTATATATTACCTAGCTTTTTAACCCTCAAATACAATAGATGGTGATCATGAAAATGATTTTATTCAGCCCTTTAAGTAACACACACACACACAAATCATACTATCTTTTTAGCCCATTAGTGTTTCATTAATTTATTCCTTCTTAGGTACAAATCCCTCACTCTAACATACAGAGTACATTAAATGAGAGAAACTATGAAAATGTACTGTCATGCTTTAAAAACACATAAAGTTTCAGAATATATTTACAGAGTAAGGTTTCAAATACTAAAGTATTTTTTAAAAAGTTAAGACTTCACGAAGTAATGTGAAGGATAAGTTTATCAGGAGGTATAGCTAAAATATGAAATTGCTTGCAGCTCCTGGAATTTGGATATTATTTGAAGGTCAAAGCAGCGTAGAATACAAGGAGCTCGTTATCATATGGCGAGGATACCTTCACCTGGACAACTTTGTTCCAGGATGTGGATGAAATCACAGCCCTCTTGCGATATGCCCCAGGCTCCACGTCTTCCCTTATACTCAACTCCACTGTCAACGTTATTTTCCCCCAAGAAAGCGTCAAGAAAGAAGAGACACATGCTAATGTGTTCTTTTACCTCTGTATGATGCGGCACAATGACAAGTAACAATCACACTTGATTTTCAAAAGCGGCCCACAGCTTAAGCTCTACCTTCTCAGGCTAAAGTGAATTATTTAAGCAACCAGAAGACTGAAGAGTTCTTTCACAGCTGACTCATTTAAAAAAAAAGAAAAAAGAAAAAAAAGCGGTTGAGGGGTGCACCATAATAGGCCAGGAATGCGACCTACGGCGTCGCGAAACTTCCCTTGCAGAACTTGACGCATTACGAGGCAGGCCGGCCGAAACCCCAGCGGTAGAGCTACACCTCTCAACTCGCGGGGTGCAGGGAGCCTGGCCCCGGGGCCCAGAGGCCTCGCCCTCGGCCGAACTCGGGCCCAAGCCCGCCCGCCGCGCCCTAGGCTCCTCTACAGCAAACCGCCGGCCGGGCGGCGGCCCCGGAGCTGTTTTCCTCTGGGTGCGACAGGAGGCGAAGCGATCCAGGGAGCCGGGCCTGGCAGAAGCCGTGGACCGGGTGGCGGGGTGGCGGGGCCGCGGGGCCGCGCAGCGAGAAGGCCCGGAGGCCGCGGGCGGAGGCCGCCCCAGCTCGGGCCGCGCCCGGCCGTCGCCGTTTACCGTTCCCGCCGCGGCCCAGGTGACAGCGGCCACCGAGACGGGAAGGGCCCTGTCACCCTTGTCACGGCTCGCAGAGCCGCCTCACCTGGACTTGCCCACGCCACTCTCGCCGATGATGAGGATCTTCAGGGTGGTCAGCACGTCTTCGTCCATCCTGACCCTGCTCCGCTCGGCTCACAGCTGGCCGCCCTGCTCTGCCTCTCAGCCCTTCCCCAGGGGGAGCTGCCGCGCATGCGCCCCGCCCCGCCGGGGCCACTTTCCTTTCACACCGGGTGCTTAGGTTGCAGGAGCCCCGCACGCCCGGGTTCCGCCTGGAGGTAGCTCTGCGTCGGCGCAAACCCAAGTCCCAGGTGTCCTTCCGGGGAGGGCAACTCCTCCCTTGCGCAAGCGCAGAGGGAGAGCGCCGGTTGTGATTTCACCCGGTTTGCAGATTCTTCCGCTTCTCCAACCCTCACTTAACCGTCCTTCCTTGGTGCACGTACTCGGAAGAGGACTGAGTCAGGGGAGTATGGTGCTCTTTGATTTCAATAGCTGCTCAAAACAGCTGCATTGCAGTGGCAAGAGTCTTGTGCGCGAAGGCAGTATTATCTTAGTTTTAGGTCCCAGCCACCGTATAACCGCTTTGCATTACCTAGACTTCTGAGTCTGTTCCCCTCAGTCGGCACAATTATACTTCTAAGAACAAGACCGGCGTCTTAGAATTATTATGAAGGTTAAATGAGTTAATTTCGGATGGCACTTTGTAAACTCAAGTGCTCTATAAAAGGTGTGATCTGGTATTATTAACTTCCTGGCCGTTTGACAAATACCATTCACACCTCACTTCATGTTCAGAGAGATGTAAACCTCACATAGATCAGGTGCATACAGATCTCTGGTGGTGCAACTCAAGCTAACTGTTACTCATAAGAGCTGCTACACCACAACTGCAGGAAAGTATGTACATGCTTTGGTCTTCTTGGCAAGCTGTAACTCTTAGTGAGGGCGCCAAACCTCATGTATAGTAACTAACAAAGTGCCTGGTATGTGACAGACGCTAAATAAATATTAGCCTCCCATCTTCTTTTACCTGCAGCTAATGCCAGATACAATAGATATTTAATTAAAGAATACATGTTAATAAAAGTTAAAATAAATTAAGGAAATAATCTTTTTTAAATACCCGGAAAAGCTCTTGTGTTAGATACCCAAATGGTACCCCACCCGCCGATACCCTTCTCTGCCTTCAGGTCTTTGCTCTAATGTTGCCTTCCTGTACACACTACTCGAAATCTGCAAATCCTTCCAACATTCCCTATACCTCTTTCCATTGTTTTTCTGCATGTACTTACTGCGCTCCGATATATATTCTACTACTTTGTTCACTGTCTAATCTTCCCCAAAGAAAAGGGAAGCTTCATGAAGGCAAGGATTTTTGTTTTGTTTTGTTCGCTCTACCCTCTGTGTCTAGAGTAGTTCCTGACATATAATATGTGCTAAATAAATATTTGTTAAATGAATTAATTGAATGAACATTCTTCCATTCCTAACTTTGGAAGGTGATGTCAACCAGGCAACCTCAACCTCTCAAAATAGCACTTGAAACCTCAATCAAGACTATGCAGCCTACTTTTGGCCATGGCATCAAGAACTTATTAGTGAGACTCACAATATTGTCAAGTTCTCCTGCTCTGGGGCAGTGATTCTAAAAGTGTAGTCCCCAGATCCCTAGAGATCCCCTTCAGGGATGAACACAAGGTCAAACTATGTTCACAGTTATTCAAGATGCTGTTTACTTTTTTCACTCTGGTTCTTTGATACTACAGTGGAGTTTTCCAGAGGCTATATACAGTGTGATAGCAAAACAGATTGAAGGCAGAACCAGATCTTAGAATTCAGCTATTTTCTATTAAGCCAGACATTAAAGAGATTTGCAAAAACGTAAAATAGTGCCACTTTTTCACTAATTTTTTGTTTTAAAATAATTATTTTCATAAACATTTATACTAACTAGTAATAGGTTTATTATGTTTTAAGATGGTTTAATACATATGTTTAAAATTTTCTCAGTTCTAATTTGAATAGTAAATATGAAGAGTCATCAGCTCTTTCAAGTCCGCAATAATTTGTAACAGTGTACAATAATCTGTACAACCAAAAAGTTTGAGAACTGTTGCATGGCACAGCTGCCAAGACGTCTCCACGTGGGTCTGTCCAGGTGCAGAAAACCAAGCTAAACATGAATCATGCTGACGTCATCGTCTTCTCCTCTGTACTAGCTTTTCCTCCTGATTTCCTTTTTAAGGAATGACATTAACAGCCACACACCTTCCTCAGCCTCACTACCCGCATCCCTTAAGCATCCCGAAATGTATCCACTTTCTTCACTCCTACCATCACTGCTAATGTCAGGTCGCCACCTCAGTTTCTTGCTGGATCACCTGCCCTGTTAGCTGCCCCGCTGGCCTTCCTGCCTTCGTTCTTCTCTCCCCTCGGACTCTTGTCTACCCTGCAGCCAAAGTGGCAACTGCTGAAGTGCAAACCCAGTCCAGTCATCCCACCTTCTTTTTGTTGCTCACTGCCCTTCCAAGTATTTATTATTTTATCATAGGCCCTGGTTATCCCTCCAACCTCATCTCTTGCTATCTCACGCCTTGCACTATGTGTTCTGGCCAAATTAAACTCCTTTCATATTTCCAGTGAGCCGTGTTCGCCAGTCTCCAGGACCTTGTCATCCCTTCCGCCTGGAGTCCTCTTCTTTCCTCTGCCCCCAGTCCCATCCCTGCACATACACACACTTTTGCTTGGGCAGCTCCTACTCATACTCCATGTTCCAGCTTTTGGATCTATTTCTCTGGAATGATTTCTCAGGCCTCCCAGGTCAGCATTACATTGTGTTCCAATAGTGTCCTATGCGTCTATTGTGGTATGTACTCCACAGTATTATAATTGCTTGTTCTCCTACCAGAATGTGTGCTTCTTGAAAGCAGAATTGATTAGTGTCCTGTTCACTGTTCTGTCTCCAGCATGCAGTACAATGCCAAGCATAGAGTAGCTGCTCAAAAAATATTTGTAAATATAAAAACCTCAAATCAACTTCAGAAATTTGGAACAGTGAGGTCTTCTTATTTATTTGTTGCTTATATGGGTTGGAGTGTCTCTTGACTCTCTGTCTTGAACATTAGGGGAAGAAAAACCTCGGTAACTCTTAATGCACAACCATTACCAGGTATTGCTAGAAAGGAAGCAAGCATTCATGCACAGGTAAGGCAAGGTAGTATTTTTTGTGCTAAATAGGTGACACAGAAAATAAATGCTCCGGAAATTCAGGCAAGAGTAATTGATTACTGAAGCTTAGGGCCACCAGAAAAGGCTTCAGGAAGGAAGCAGGAGTTGAAAAGGGGTACAGTTTAGACAAGTGCAAGAAAGGAGGTACCGCTTCAGGCAGAATGAATCTAGCATAAACAAAGACATCAGGACTCTACGTAAAATAAAACCTTTTAGATGGATAAATCTGGCTATGTACAGGAAGAATTAAGGAACAGACAGGAGTAAAGACATTGTGGACAAAGAATGTCAGCTGCCATATCAGTAAACAAAGGATGTTGCCACCACCAAGCTGTCAGCTACTGCAGCCGCACCCAGAGGTGTACCCTGAGGGGGCTCAAAATCGGAAAGAAGAGGATACTGGCACTAGATAGTGAAGATGCATATCAAAGGAATGATTTCAATAAGCCCAGACTCCTGCATCTTCCCGTGCATAGAAAAAATGCTAAATCCGTTAAATTGAGATGTCTGTTTCTTTAATTAGCAGTAATCTTTTGATGTTTGATCACCTGTTTTATGCTTTTTTCCAAAAACTCATATATATGCTGGCTCTTTGCTTACCTCTTTGGAACAGTCCCTCAGAGCTATCTGAGAGACTGTATCCCTGGCTTAAGTCCTCTGTTAAGTCAACCAAATGTGATGAAAGAAACGGAAGAACAGCTTCAGGGCTAACAGCACGTTTTGACTTCCGTAAGAAAGTTGCTTTGCTTACTTGCATGGGGCAGGAAGAACCGGGTTCCTGATTGGCTCATTCAAAATTAAACAGCTCCCTCCCGCCTTGGGAACTTCCCGTCCTGTGAAGGGTATAAAGGCCTCCCCCGACTGTTAGTTGGGGTCTCACTCACTTCTCTCTGAGTGGGACCCTGTCCGGACAGTTTGTGTAAGCTTCTATACTTGTACTTGTATAAATCCTTTGCTAATCTTTCTGCTTGGTGTTGGTGATTCTCGAGTGTCCTTGGTTGGGACACGTTGCATTTACCGGGGAACTCGACTCCAGGCATGTGGCTCCCGGACCGCAACACAAATGAAGTGTAATTCTCACCTTTTAGATTGTGCATTTTGTTTTTAGTCCACAGCATGGAGACCTCATAGGAAATTAGGGGAAGACCTGAATGTGGTGGTGATGGGGGTTGGGAACTGGAAATGGAGGCATATATACAAATGACGCAAGGAACAATTGCCCCACGCCCAGTGAAGGATGAGGAGAAGAAAAGGGTGATCAAAATATCAAGAATTTCTCTACTATTGTAAGTCTCAGTGCCACCAATAAGCAGGAAAACTTATGACAGAAATGGTGACGAAAATGGGTTACATTTCAGCCAGGTTGAATTTTATGTGAAGGTACACCTTGGAGGAAAATTTTTTCAGAACCCTTTTAGAGCTGTGCTTCTGAAATTCAGGCCAGATAGCAAGACACCAAAACAGAAGAATCAGGAAGATGACATTCCTGGCCAACAGTCTGGCCTGGGGGATCTGTTTCCCATATGCACTGTTTTGTTTTGTTTTTAACATCTTTATTGGAGGATAATTGCTTTACAATGTCGTGTTAGTTTCTGTTGTATAACAAAGTGAATCAGCAATAGGTATACATATATCCCCATATCCCCTCCCTCCTGAGTCTCCCTCCCACCCTCCCTACCCCACCCCTCTAGGTGATCACAGAGCACTGAGCTGATCTCCCTGTGCTATGCGGCTGCTTCCCACTAGCTATCTATTTTACATTTGGTAGTGTATATATGTCCATGCCACTCTCTCACTTCATCCCAGCTGACCCTTCCCCCTCCCCGTGTCCTCAAGTCCGTTCTGCATGTCTGCGTCTTTATTCGTGTCCTGCCCTAGGTTCTTCAGGACCATTTTTTTTCTTTTAGGTTCCATATATATGTGTTAAAATATGGTATTTG